GTGTGTGTGTGTGTGTGTGTGTGTGCACGCGCTAAGGCCTGGGTGCTGTCCCTTAGCATTTTCTCTCAAGGTTAACACTGTAGCACTCGAGCCACAGCTCCACTTCTTGCTTTTTGGTGATTAATTGAGGGTAAGAGTATCTTCGGTTCTTTTTGAACCATCATAGCCAAATCTTAGCCTCCTGAGTAGCTGGCCACTTGGGCCAGGCTTCTAAATTGCTTCTTGAACTTTATTTGTTCATCCAGTTTGACTTGTCAAACACTGATTTTTGCACTTCAATGAACCAGGGTCCTTATATACTAAAGGGATAAAGCAGAACGGCACCCAGTCCCTGCCCTCCCAGTGCTTTTAAATCCAATACAGATGCTTCATGGTGGTGGTGGTGAATCCTGCTAAGATCATTTGCAAATACTGTCAAGTTCTCATTTGGGCTGGGCCATTTTAGCAGATGAGATAGTACCTATCATAATAACCCAGGAACAGGTTGAGTTTAAAAACAAACCAGATCCTACTGGTCAAATGAAAAAACAGCTTACAAGAGTATGCCAAATGCCACAGCAGAGTCAAGAGCAGGGTGTTGGAGTTGGAAGCATTATCAAATGAGTGAAAGCATCAGATACCTAGTTCCAGTCTCAGTGTCAGAGAAAAAGAGCGGGGTGTCGTGGAAGGGTCTATGGGGGGTGATCAGCCTGCTGGGAATGCCTCCTAGAGTCCCATGCTGGTAGATGAAGGAAAGGTAGCAGAACAATTCATTGGAGCATCGTGGTGAACGTTTTCTGCCCCTGGACTGCTGAGAGGGCAGGAACACAGCTGCAACTATGATAAACCATGCAGTTGTAATCCATGGCCATGAAAGTGCATGAAGGAGACAGGAGCTTCACCTCTTCAGGAAGGCTGAGAACCTTCCTTAAGAATTACAAAGCTGGCCAGGTGGGGGTGGCTCAAGCCTGTAATCCTAGCTTCTCGGGAGACTGAGATCTGAGGATTATGGTTTGAAGCCAGCTGGGGCAGGAAAAGCCATGAAATAATACATTACTCAGGAAAAGCTGTAAGTGGTGCTGTGGCTCAAGTAGTAGAGTGCTAGGCTTGAGCAAAAAGAAGTTCAGGACAGTTCCCAGGCCCTGAGTTCAAGCCCCAGGACTGGAAAAAAAATAGTGACAGTTATACCTAATGGTTATTAGGCATCTTGAACACAGAGAGCTCACAGACTTCAAAGGCAACATAGGTAGAGCACTGGGGATTGAGAAGGAAGGGGGTACAGTTGGTATAGAAGAGGAAGTGGGGATTAAGGTGGTGGCAGAGCCCAAGAAGCTGTGTAGGTCATGGTAAAGCATTCCTATGAATTATTTTTATGTTTATCCGAAGTATAGGTAAAATCCTTCGCAGAGAGGTTACAAGATCCTATCTTGAGAAGCTGGAAGAATCCCATATGGACTAACGGAAGCCCTGGACAAGGACAAGATCTCTTCAGCAACTGTAATACAGGTAACCAGAACCTAACCAGAAGAGGTGAGAAGAGAAAGGGTGGCCAGAGGCATAGGAAAGAGAAGCAGGAGAGATGTATCATGGACCAAGTCAAATGAAAGAATATTTTGAGAAAAGTGGCCATTTAACCCAAAAGTTGTAGAGGTCAAAGAGGAACTGAAAGTATGCATTGGTTTTAAATGCCTGGACATTGTCTTCATTGATAGCTAAATAAGTAGGAAGTCAGGAAATAGAAAGAGGATCTGCAAGAAATAACTGAAGTAGGGGAAAGGAAATAGCTGAAGGCAAAGGCTAGAGATGGTTGTAGCTGGAGTAGTGAGAGGGAGGTGTGGGAAGAAAGGTGGGAAAACGGAGGATCAGATGCAAGCATACTTCATTTTACTGTTTTGCTTTCCTGCTAGTGCTGTGGATTGTTGTTGTTGTTGAGATTTGTGCTAGCTCGTTTGAAGCAAGTCTGTTAGTGCCATTTTTGTAGAGCCTGTGTATCCACTCCATCTCTGTTACATTTTGGAAATTCTCACTTTGAAGCTTTTTCATTCTACCTGTTTTGTGGTCAGTGATCGTGACATTGTGAGCATAGATGCTGTAAGCTGCGCCCCATGTAAGGTGGTGAACGAAGTCATTAAGTGCTGAATGTGTTCTCTCCCTCTTTTCTCCTCTCTCCATTCCTTTTTTCTTTCTCTCCTTAAACCTCCTTATTCTCTGAGACACAATATTGAATATGCAAATTAAAAACCTTACAATAGGTGTTGAGAGTTTGGCTCCATTGGTGGAGTGCTAGCCAAAGAGCAAAAATGTCAGGTACTGAATTTAAGTCCCAGTCTTGTACAAAAACAAACAGGAAATTTCGCTTTATAATAACCTCTTAAGCGTTTAAGTGAAGAGTTCCACCCTCTCACTTTAAATCAAGTGATTTAAAGAAATGACCAAGCTTTGTGAAGAAGGCATCTCAAGAGCTGAGAGGTATACTGCCAGACCTCTTATTCCAAATAGCCAAGTTGTGAATGGATCAATTATTGGAGGAAATATAAACTGGGACTCTACAGAAAGCACACGAGTAAGTAAGTGAGATAGCCTGGAGAAAGTTTGAGTGATCTGCACAGATCCAACTAGCCACAGCCTAATCCAGAACAGACTCTTCTGTAATGGCCAAGAGAAGTGAGAAAGCTGCAGAAGTGTGATTTGTGAGCTTAAAGGAAAGCCATCTTTATAAATAAGAGTACAAGAAGCCACATGCACAGCTGTAGAAACTGTAGCAAGGTATCTAGAAGGTCTAGGGAAGACAACTGATGGTTATCTTCAGCACTTCAATGATAGGTTTTCAGTGAAATGAAACAGCCTTATAGTGAAAGAAGTCAGCATTTAGCACTTGCATAGTGAGAGAAGTCTTTGTCTAGCTTCAAAGCATCAAAGTAAAGGCTACCGAATGGACCTGGTAACTCAAAAGAAGCCAGGGCTCATTAACATTTTTGAAAATCCAAGGGCCCTTAGGAATTAAAACTGAATCTACTCTGCCTTTGCTCTAGAAATGGCATGGGAAAGCCTAGATGCAGCACACCTGTTTGCAACATCATTTACTGAATAGTTTGAGCTCATTCTTCAAACCTTTTGTTCAGAAATAAAGATCTTAGTGCTCATTTCCAGTGCATGTGCTCACACAGGAGCTCCAACAGACACATCGCCCCAGGCAAAACCAGCCACCAGCAGAGAGATTACACCTTGTAGCAGGTGCAGATGATAATTAGCAATTCCCTCCTCACCAAGAGGTTTGTTTTGTTTTTGTGCAGGTTATTGTGGGGCTAGAGCCACAGCTCCACTTCCAGCTTTTTCTGAGTAGTTTGTTGGAGATAAGAATCTCAGAGACTTTTCTGCCCAGGCTAGCTTCAAACCATAATCCTTAGATCTCAGCTTCCTGAGTAGCTAGGATTACAGGCGTGAGCCACCAACACTTAACTGCAATGAAGTATCTTCTTCTTGTTGTTGGTTGTGGGGCTTGAACCCAGGGCTTGAGCCTCTTTGTGCTCAGGGCTAGCACTCTACTACTTGAGCCACAGCACCACTTCCAATTTTTGAGTGGTTAATTGGAGATAAGAGTCTCACTGGGACTTTTCGGCCCAGGCTGGCTTCAAACTGTGATTCTCAGATCCTCAGACTAGCTAGGATTACAGGCCTGAGCCACCAGCACCTGGCTCAATGAAGTATTTTTTTTTTAAGTTAAGGTATATCCATTTTTAGGTATAATGGTGCACACTTAATGTGCAATAGTATAGTGAGAGCACACACTTTTATCTGTACTGGTTCACCAAAAAGTCCATGTAATTCACTTTATTGGGGTGCTTGCTTCATGGTAAGTGGCCTACAACCAAAGCTGCAGTATCTTTGAGAAAGAAGGGCTCTAAGTTTTCAGGGCAGAAAGGGCCCAGGAGCATGGATAGGCCTACAAATAAAAGGTAGAATGGAAGGGAAGGGGAAAGAATGGTAGGCTTATGCTTGATGAGAGCAATTCCTCTTTGTTCAGATAAGAGGCAAGCTTGAACATGAAGGAGAGAATGGGGCAGTGGAGGAGGCTACAGGTGTGATGAGGTAATTGTCCAGGGTAGATGTAGAATCGACCAGACATGGTTTTACCATACTCTGGCAGAGAGAGCCAAGTATGCAGTGGAGGCTGGAACTCAGAACCTCCTGACCCATTCAGGAAACTGAAAAGTAGGAGGATAGGGATGAGATACTTCCTGAGGACAAAGGGTATGAAATAAAGGAGGCATCAGAAATCATGGAGTGAGGAAAGGGTGTGCAGAAATGGTGGGAGGAGGTGACTGAACTATAGATAGAATTGATTCCAATTCTTAGCTAACACCAGGAAATGTTAAATGAATCTAAGAGGCTAACTTTTAAAGGAAGTAGGATTCATAAAGGACCATTTAGGAGCTGGGAAGGTGGCTGAGTGGTAGAGCGCTTGCCTTGCATGCATGAGGCCCTGGGTTCAATTCCTCAGCACCACATAAGCAAAAAAAAAGAAAAAAGCTGGAAGTGGCACTATGGCTCAAGTGGTAGAGCGCTAGCCTTGAGCTGAAGAGCTGAGGGACAGCTCCCAGGCCCAGAGTTCAGGCCCCACGACCGGACCCCCCCCCAAGAAAAGGACCATTTAACAGTGCCTTGTTCATTTATTAGCATTTTCCATAATTAGAGTACTTAAGCAGTAGCTTACTTCATCCATCTGTAATAGTTTCTGTAAAGTATTGGCAGGATTATAAAACTCAGAGATCTCCTTCTTTCTTTGAGCTATTGATTGGAAAGGAGATGGGAGAGACAGGTGAGAGGCCATGCTGAGTCAGTGTTGTTCACGTGGCTGGGAAATGGAGGCTCAGGCTTTAAGTTACTTGGGGTTTGAACTCAGGGTCCTGTGCTCACTAGGTACATGCTCTACTTCTTGAGCCATATCCTTAGCCCCAGAGGCTCATATTTTTGAGAAATACTATTTTACTTGATCTCTTAGCTAGATTCTTTTAGAGTAGCAGCTTTATATAGAGTATAGAAGAATGAATTTTTAAAAAGCCATTGTCAAGCTGGGCACTGGTGGCTCATGCCTATAAGACTAGCCACTCAGTAGGCTGAGATTTGAGGATCATGGTTCAAAGCCAGCCCCAACAGGAAAGTCCTTGAGACTCTTCATCTCCAGTTAACCACCAGAAAAGGCATTGTCAAGTGTCCTGAGCCTAGAGGTCACTGATGGCTACAGGAAGGCAATACTTGTGGTTGTCACCACAGAGTGGCTTCATACAACAAAAAGATGAATAGCTGAAGAAGTTAGAGTGGTACATACATTCCTTCATAGAGGGAAATCCTTAAGAACAGAATGGTTCTTTTAAAGTTACAAGTCTTGTTTGTACCATAAACATAATATTAAGAAATAGTTTAGCTGGGCACTGGTGGCTCACACCTGTAATTCTGGTTACTCAGGAGGCTGAGATCTGAGATTGCAGTTCAAAGCCAGCCTGGGGAATGAAAGTCCATGAAAGTCTTATCTCCAATTAACCACCAGAAAACTGGAAGTGGTGCTGTGGCTTAAAGTGGTAGAACACTGGCCTTGAGCAAAAAAGCTCAGGGACAGCACCAGGCCCCAAATTCAAGCCTCATAAGTGACAAAAGTATTTTGTCCTATTTATAAGTAAAGTAAGTAAGACCGAGGAGTCAGATTCTTCTACAACAAAATGAAATCACCACAGTTACTCTGTGGCTGCAGAAACTGTTGGAATAGGCCAATAGGAGGTACTATAAGTTTAGTCTTACATTTCTAGTATGAGATATCTAAGTCATGAGCAAGTGTAAAAGTTATTTAAAAGAGTATGTCAAATATTCCACATGAATAGTTTTTCTTTTATGCTTGCTGAACCTAGGGGCTGTACTAGGGATTGAACCCATGGCCTTGAGTATGCTAGGCAGGTGCTCTACCACTGAGCCACATCCCCATCAAATAAGCTTTCCTTTCAAATCCCTTTCCATTCTTACTACTGACTCAGATTGGTAAGGAACTGTTCTCTGAAAGTCAGTGCTCCTTTATCTTCTTTCTGACAGGGGTGATGAGTACATCCTTATCCAGGAAACTGCAGGCATGCTATGGAAGTTGCTGATGAGAGCCCAGCCTTGCAGGCTGTGTTCTTTCAGAAAGCTACAACCAACTCCAAAATACAAGCCTTGTTATTCTTGTTTCACCTACACCACTGATACACAGTCCAACAGAGAAAACAAAAGAACAGTGGAAAAGCTCTTTAAACTTTCAGTCGACGTCAGGAAAATTCGTAGATTAAAAGGATGGGTACTTTTGGAGGATAAAACTTACATTGAAGAAATTGCAAATCTTTTACAACAACTAGGTGCCAAGGAGACCTCAATAGCCAGTATTTTGGAACGCTGTCCTGAAGCAATTGTCTGTAGTCCAGCTGCTGTTGACACTGAAAGAAAACTCTGGCAGTTGGTGTGCAGAAGTGAGGAAGAGTTAATCAAGTTAATAGAGCAGTTTCCAGAATCATTCTTTGCTGTTAAGGACCAAGAGAACCGGAAATTGAATGTTCAGTTCTTTCAAGAGCTGGGACTCAAGAATGTGGTCATTAGCAGATTTTTGACAACTGCATCTAATATTTTTCATCATCCTGTTGAGAAAAATAAGCAAATGATAATGACTCTTCAAGAGAGCTATCTAAGTCTGGGTGGCTCTGAGGCCAATATGAAAGTTTGGCTACTAAAATTATTAAGCCAGAATCCATTCATTTTGTTAAACTCTCCTGAAGTCATAAAGGAAACACTGCGATTTCTCCAGGAGCAAGATTTCACAGACCTTGAAATCCTTCAACTTCTGTCCAAACTCAAAGGATTTCTTTTTCAACTCTGCCCCAAAAGTGTAGAGAATAGTATATCCTTTGCTAAAAATGCTTTTGGATGCACAGATCATGACCTGAAGCAGTTAGTTGTGAAATGTCCTGCTCTTTTATATTACCCTGTTCCAGTTTTAGAAGAGAGACTTCAGGGACTACTGAAAGAAGGAATTTCCGTAACTCAGATAAGAGAGACACCGATGGTTCTTGAATTAACACCACAGATAGTTCAGTACAGAATAAGGAAGCTGAATTCTTTGGGCTATAGAATAAAAGATGGACATCTGACAAATCTAAATGGAACAAAAAAGGAGTTTGAGGCTAATTTTGGCAAAATTCAAGCCAAAAACAGAAGGCCAATTTTTAACCCTGTGGCACCATTAAATGTTGAAGAGTAAAAGTAACACAGTATGTGTCTATCAAAGTGAGACTGACAAAGAGAAGCAATTTATAAGAACCAGTCATTTGAAATGCCTATAGTAGCTTCAGAATTATTTGTTTACCTCTAATAGTGGATTTCTGGCTGTACTTGTAAAATAGAAATTGTCTTTATTTAGAATAAAGTTACTTTGGCCTTGAACATTTATTCCTTGGGTACTTTATTTATTTGGTCATGGGGCTTGAACTCTGGGCTTAGGCACTATCCCTCAGCTCTTCAGCTCAAGGCAAGCACTCTGCCACTTGAGCCACAGCGCCACTCCCATTTTCTGGTGGTTTATTGGAGATAAGAGTGTCACAGACTTTCCTGCCTGGGCTGGCTTTGAACAGAGATCGTCAGATCTCAGCCTCTTGAGTAGCTAGTGTTAGCCACTGGCGCCTGGCTTCTTGGGTACTTTTAAATGACACATCAATCAGTGTGGCATTTTGTGTGAAGCGTTGTGAAAGGACTGGGAAGCACACACCCTAGTTCAAACTGTGGGCACATTTTTACCCACCTAACATGCAACCCCAGCCTTCCCCACAAGCCCTGGAACGTACATCTCTCTCCTGTGGTCTGAATACTGTGGCGCAGTGGGAGCGAGCTTCTGACACGCTTTTAGAGAAAACTCACTTTGTCTTGTGTTTGCAAACCAAGTCAACCCATCCAAAAAGAATAGTGAACAGCTTATTTCTGTGGTCCATCTGTTGCAAATTGACCATATGAAACACTAAGATGCATTCACTGGTTTCCTCATTTTTGAGATGGGGAAACAAGCTTAGACAGGCCATTCAGCTGCCAAGTAATTAGAGCCCAGATTTATTAAGATCTGACCTCTGATCTAGAAATAGAATTACTTATAAGCAACCCCCTCCTGAAGTGCCAAAATGAATGAATGAAAAGAAATTTTAGAGTTTCAGGAAATCTCTGTACAATCTAATTTGAAATAATCTAAAATTTGTATCATTTGATACAAATAGCTTTCTAGAAAGCTTTGGGGAAATCCTGTTCAGCTGATGAGAAAAAGTGTATGGTATTAATTTTAATGGTAACATTTTTCAGTTTTCATTTCTAAGTCGTGTTTCAAGATAAAGCTTACCCAGATAAAAACTGGCTTGCTTTCAACTGTACAGTCTGAACTTTGTACCACATGTGCAATCAAACTGTTTATATTAAACATTTATGTGCTACATCTATATATGGCCTTTTTTGCATAGTGAAATAAACACTCAGTGTCTTTTCCTTTCTTCCACAAATCCAGGTCACCCTCTCTGTCCAAACCAGGTCCTTGGTTGGGATGCCATGCAGTATCACTGGTAGGTGCAGTAGAAGCATTAGGGTCCTGAGTTCCTTTTCTAGATAGATAAGGAAACTTGAGGTAGATAGTCCATCCTCAAGAATGTCTGTGAAACATGTTAAGGAAAAGGAGAAAGCTAGAAGCTAGATGGTGTAGCTTTGTAATAGAGCACATGCTTTGCATGCATGAAACCTTGGATTCAAACCCCAACATCGCATTAAAAAAAAAAACCAGATAAATGGAGCAGGGCTGAGTGATGGGAAGAGTTAACACAAGAGGAGCTATTTAAGTTTCTTGTGTCCTCTCCATGATCCAAGGAGCAGGATTTCATTCTAAGGGTAAGAGAAGCCGTGGGGAATTTAATAATTCTTTTTTGTGGGGGGTGGGGGGTTCAGTTGTGGGGCCTGAACTCTGGGCCTGGGTGCTGTCCCTCAGCTCTTCAGCTCAAGGCTAGCGCTCTACCACTTGAGTCACAGCGCCACTTCCAGCTTTTTTTCTTTTTGCTTATTGTGGTGCTGAGGAATTGAACCCAGGGCCTCATGCATGCAAGGCAAGCACTCTACCACTGAGCCACCTTCCCAGCCCAGCCGTGGGGAATTTAATCCTGACAAATGACCAGTGATACTCGTAAACTATCCTGATGCCTTATATTACAGGAGGATTACCTTGGTAGTTAGATGTCAGTGGTGAAATGGTTAGGAGCCAACCCAGCGGGAACTGCAGTTGTGGGAAGTCAGCACTGAGGTATATATCCAGGCATCATTTGCAAATTGATGGTATGTAAAGCCATGGCAGTGAATGATATTGTAGACTTGGAACAGGATAGGATAACTGAGGCAAGGAAGTTCACTAGAAAAAAATTTTCAAAGATACATCTCTCTTGCTGTTGCTAGTAGCTCACACCTGTCACACTAGCTACTCAGGAGGCTGAGATCTGAGGATCGCAGTTCAAAGCCAGCCTGGGCAGTTAAATCCGTGAGACTCTTTCTCCAATAAACCACTCAGAAAACTGGAGTGGTGCTGTGGCTCAAGTGGTAGAACGCTGGCCTTGAGCTGAAGAGCTCAGGGGCAGCGCCCAGGCCCAGAGTTCAAGCCCCACGACCGACAAAAAAAAAAAGAAAATAAAAGATACATCTCTCAAAATCAATGTTGTAGGAGAGGACCCAGCAAATCAGGGCCATACTGTGAGATTTAAAGTTGGCTCTCTAGTTACAGAGGACAGAGAAGAGAGCCACTTCTTCCTCTGGTTTTCAAACTTTAGTGTACACAAGAACCCACAGAAGATGATAAAATGGGGTCCTTAGCTGGGTGCTGGGCGCCCAGCCTCATGCCTGTAATTCTAGCTACTTAGGCTGAGATCTGAAGGTTGTAGTTCAAAGCCAGCTCGGGCAGGAAAATCTGTGATATTCCAATTAACTGCCAAAAGCCAGAAGTGGTAAGGTGGCTCAAGTAGTAGAATGCTGGCCTTGAGCAAAAGCAGATTAGGGACAGCACTCAGGCCAGGAGCTCAAGCCCTAGGACTGTCATAATAAAAACAAACAAACCAACATATATGGTCCTGACCCCACCCTGCAAAGATTCAGCAAGTTGAGATAAAACCTAGAAATCTGCATTTTAATCTTTATTAAGTTGATATAAATATATTTGTATTTTACTGTTGTGTTGGCATCAAAATACATATTATTCCAGGATGTCATGTATGTACATTATCACAAAAATTGAGAACTGGCTATGGCACTGTCTGAACTATATAACTAAAAGTTCTAAGATTACCCTGTTTTAAAATTTCTTTTATTTCTTTAGATCTTCATGAAGCATTCCAACTTTACAGATCATAGTGCTCTATTAACAGATTTATGTGTTCTTTTCCCATCCCTTTTAATACAAAAAAAACATTATTCAATTATTTTCATCTGACATTTCACTAAGTACAGGATTCATAATGTTGATATTATTAGATCAGTCACTTAAGTGGGTGACACAAATTTATCTTTGTTGTGCCAAATACCCACTCAAAAAACAAGCTGAATAACAGATGCCTCCAGGTGTATACAACAACCATAGTTTCTTCAAGTGAACTAGTCCTGTTTAACAGGTCAAATCGCTAGTCTATGTAAATAAACTGGAAAAGACTCACGTATACAGCTGTACATGTCATCAGATGGCAAGTTCATTCCACTAAAAAGTTTTATCTGACTGTACTTTTGGACAGTCGTCTGCTATTATTGCAGAAGTCCCTCCGAACAAAGTTGTAGTTTAGAATTTAAAACAATCGTGATGAGATAAAATATACCAGGGTAGCTTTTCTGTAGCAGAAAACTATAATTATAGCCTTTTTTTCTCAAGCAATATTAAAGACAAGCAAAGTTGAAAATAAATATGCAAGCATATAGTAAGTTAGAAAAAAAATAGAAAAAAATTCAAGTACAAAGCACAGCAGAGCCTATGACTACAGAAGATAAATTAGAAATACAAACGAGCACCAAAGCAGTATTCCTTCTAAACAGCAGGAAACAAATTTTCCAATACCATTATTTAGATCATTTACTATTTGTCTGTTAACTTTGGAATTTAAAAAACAGTCCCATTTGTTAATTAAGAAATCTGACCGAATAGACCAACAAATGTCCTAACCATACTACCATGAAATAAATGACTAATTCCTTGTGAACTGAAGTCCTTAATGACTTGTAAGTTTTAAATAAGCAGGAAAAAGTTCAAGAACCTTTTGTAGATTTGTTCAAATCTCTGCTGACACTTCTGGAAGTTTTTAAAAGTGACATTCTTATCCACTCGCCTATGTATTATTAATAATACCATTTAGTGGCTACAAGCAAACACTGGAAGGCTCAGGTGTTAGGTTGATTTGTTCAGGTTCTCTACATTTTGGCTTGATTTCAGGACATCACCCCTTTCTTCCTCCATGAAATTTATGAGGGGCAGAGGAGATAAATCTCCAGACATAAAGAAAAAATATGAAGATTTTTCTGACTTGGACCAGAACCCTCAGTTAAAAGGAATGCCAAATATACCCGCCAGTTGTTAAATTTTCACCAAACCAAAAAAATTCTAGCTAAGTCATCTTTGAGAATGACAGATGTGATGGCACATTTTAAGACATGTCACACTGATCACCCATACTGAAAAATGTAAGTTTCCTGCTTGAAACTGACCTGAAAAATGGTACCATGTCCACAGCAGCTTTGAAGGACTATCATGTATTTTAAAGCCTTTTGAAAGCATTTATATTTTACATTCAAAACTAATACATGGGGCCAATTTTGCTCAATTTAAGTCAGTCCTCACATATTTATAGTTGTTTCTGTATTTTTAAGAGACAGCTGCTGATAATTTAAGACATTCTAAAGACAGAAGTGGGGTAAAGGGTTTTTTTTCTATCTCAGATATTCTGAGTAATTTCTAAGAACTTAAAATCATATCTGTTCTTTAATATGAAACTCATAGCTTCCAACCAGCTTAGCAATGTTCCTTAGGGACTGTAAAATGTACTAACAATGGAGTATGAACTCAAGCTGAAGTGTACAACTTGATTTTAACCACTGACACAACAGTTAGCAAGCACTATCTTACCCACTGACAGCAAGAAATACCTTTAACTCATGACGGGATCCCAAGAGATAGCAGGGAACAACCTTTTAAAGAACTGGTCAATAATCCTAAGAACTACATATACTGAAGGTATTAGAAAAGATGTTTTCTTTTGTAAGGCATTAATGAGTAAATGAACAGAATACATGTCCAACAAAAGATGACTAACAGTATCATAGAACCGTTTATCTTTTCTTTTAAACATTTTGAATTCCTGCTACTTTTTGCCAGCTAAAACAAGGAAAGAATGCCTCTTGGCCTACACAACTATGGTATAAAAAACTAAGACATCTGAAGCTATTAGGCACGTCAAAGGTACAGTTTATGGAGTTCAAGGTCCCTTGTATAAGGGGTGTATGAATTACCTGGCACATGTACATATGGAACTGTAAAGATCATCTACTGAATTCAACTTTCACATTTTTAGTCAAACTGAAAGACTTATAGTAAATATTGAAACATACCATATCTTCAGTTACAACTGAGTAAGTGTAACATTTTACCAGATAAAAAGCTGGAACTTAAGTATGAGAAACCTTCATATACTGTGCTAGTATTGGTCTCTTCTTTATAGATGAAAGCCATCAATACTTTCAACACAGCAGTTTAGAAGATACACGTCCAAAACAGGTGACTTGGTTGAGGTCTATAATTTAGCAATTCAATGCCACTGGCATCATAGTGCTGTGAGGAGCAAGGTCTCTCCGTGTTTTAGTCTGATTTGTCTTTCTTCTTTCCTGTTAAGGGCACTTTGTTGACAACAGCAGACCCAACAGCTGTCACTCCTCCAGCCACAGCAGACACGCCCCCTTTCACCAGCCCTATTCCCATGGAAGGCACAGTTGTCACTGCTGTTTTGGTCACCTCCAGACTCTTCCCACCAATCCAAGCCACGCCTCCAATGGTGGCACCCACGGCCCCCTTTGTAACACTGAAGATACCCCCGGTTACCCGGGACAACATGCCTGGCTGCTGCTGTGGATGGTCTTTCATTGAACCTAAGGAGAGAAAACAGCATGGCATGGTCAGATCTAACGTATTTAAAATGATCAAATGATCTCCTAGTCAGGAGGTTAGAGATGAGGAGGCCAGCTGCACTGCCGACACAAGTCTCTCCTGCCTTAGGGGCACAGTGGTATACATTTTTATGGCATCTTTGTCCAGTTCTAAGTCTATTTTTTGTCAGTCCTGGGGCTTGACCTCAGGCCCTGGATGCTGTCCTGGAGCTCTTTTGCTCAAGGCTAGTGCTCTACCACTTTGTGCCACAGCACCATTTCTGGTTTTCTGGTAGTTAATTGGAGCATCTTTCCTGCCTGGGCTGGCTTTGAATTGCAATTCTCAGATCTCAGCTTTCTGAGGAGCCAGGATTACAGGCCCGAGCCACTAACATCCAGCTCAAGTCTTATTTTTTGAGACAGGGTCTCACTATGTAGCCCAGGCTAGTTTTAAACTTGTATTCCTCCTGTCCCAGCCTCCAGAAGTGCTAAATTTATAGGCATACACCAGTGTATGTCACTGTACTCAGTCTCAGGAGGCTGATGAGGCTCATGGTTCAAAGCCAGCCTGGGCAAAAAAGCCCTTGAAATTCTTACTCTCCAATTAACTCCCCCCAACAAAAAGGCTGGAATTGGAGCTGCGGCTCAAGTGTTAAGAGTACTAGCCTTGAACAGAAAAGCTCAGGGACAGAGCCCAGGCCTTGAGTTCAGTCTACAGGACCACTCACTCACACATACAAAAGAGTAGCACAAATCTACATGTAACTTCAAACTCATAGAAATGACCAGCAAGAAGACTTCATAAAGCTTGAATACACCAGATTTTAACAGACATAGGCCTTTTCTCCGTAGCCCAGTAACTTAGGGAGTAATTTAGGTAAGCAATGATATTTTCTAAATTTTATGGAATAATATCACATAAATATATAATTTAGACTTCACCCTCCAAAAAGCACAATCCCACACAAAGCCAGGTAATGTCTTTCTTTTTTTTTTTGGTGGGTCATGGAGCTTGAACTCGGCCTGGGCGCTGTTCCTCAGCTCTTCATCTCAAAGCTAGTGCTCTACCACTTGAGCCACAGCACCCACTTCCGGCTTTTTCTGCTTATGTGGTGCTGAGGAATCGAACCCAGAGCCTCACACATACAAGGCAAGCACTCTACCTGCCCAAATCTAGATAATTTCTGTATACACAGTCCAATAAGACCACCAAGGCAGAACATTACTACCAAAGGTGACATAGGGAAACTGACAAGATTTAAGGAGAAAAAAAAATGCTGACAAAATGAGTTTGTTTTTTTTTAACAAACACATTTTCCTTAAAATAGTTTTTCTTGGAGGCTTTACATTCTGTCATAACTAGGAAAATGTTACCAATTAGTAAAAATCATGCACAAGGATGGCTATTTTATTTATTTATTTGTATTGGGGGATTGAATTCATCCATGTGCTTGCTAGGCAAGTACTCTACCACTCAAGCCACCTCCTAAATTCTTTGTTTCTATTTTTGTGACAGGTCTCACCCTTGCTTCTGGGCCGACTATGATCCTACTATACTTTGTGGATAACTGAAATGGCAGGTATACAGCATGCTATACAGCTATTAGTTGACATGGAGGTCTCACATACTTTTTGTCCCAGATGACCTTGAACCACAATCTTCCCCCAAACTCTACCTCCTGAGTAACTGGGATTACAGGTATGAATGAACCACTGTACCAGTCTGCAGTAGCTTTTTTTTTTGGTTATGGGGCCTGAACTCTGGGCCTGAGCGCTGTCCCTCAGCTCTTCAGCTCAAGGCTAGAGCTCTACCACTTGAGCCCTAGCGCCACTTCCGGTTTTCTGGTGGTTTATCGGAGGTAAGATCTCACGGTCTTTCGTACCCAGGCTGGTTTTGAACCATGATTCTTAGATCTCAGCCTCCTGAGTAGCTAGGATTACAGGTGTGAGCCACCTGCGCTTGGCTATAGCTAATTTTTTAAGCCAATGTTTTTTATTAGAACTAATAACATATAATGCAAATTTTTAACTAACTGAAATGGCTTAAGAGTTATAAAAATACGATGGAAGGGGCTGGGAAGGTGGCTCAGTGGTAGAGAGCTTGCCTTGCATGCATGAGGCCCTGGGTTTGATTCCTCAGCACCACATAAGCAAAAAGAAAAAGCCGAGAGTGGCGCTGTGGCTCAAGCGGTAGAGCACTAGCCTTGAGCTGAAGAGCTGAGGGACAGTTTGTTCCCAGGCCCAGAGTTCAGGCCCCATGACCAAACCAAAAAAACCAAAACAATGGAAAAGACTGCTTAATTGGTAACTCTTTTATAATCAAGGTAAAAAACATTAGGAAAAGAGTAAAAATCCTGATTTGAGGGTAACAGCCAAATGCTTCAATAATACTCCAGTAAAATGTTGTTGCTTTGCCTGATTTGGTTCATTTGCATTTAATCGACACAATTTTCTTGGTTAAGATAAATATTATTATAGTTATCTCTTCCCTCTGTAAGTCGTCTGCTTTTCCATATTGGCTTACAAAGACATTCCTGAGGCTCTGTTTCCTTCCGGGACAATCATGTTCCTCAGTGGCCTTTGTCCCTTACCTAACTTCTTCCCACAAAGTACTTGTGCATTGAGACTTAGCCTTTCTAGCCCTAAAAAAATAAAGCAAGGAAATGCAGCCATGGTACTCAATAGACATTATGTTGAAAACGAACTAATCAACTTATGGGCAGGGACAGGAGGAGAAACTGAGGGGAAGGGATGACAGTGTTAAAAAAAAAAAGTACTCATTATCTGATTTATAAAACTGTATCTCCTCTATACTATACCTTAATAAAAACGAAAGCAAAAAACCTATTGTGGTGGTATGTTCCTATAATCCCAGCACTCAGGAGAAGTTGAGGCAAATGGATTAGAAGTTCAAGGCCAGTTGGGCAATGGTGGCTTATACCTGTAATCCTAGCTGCTCAGAAGGCTGAGATCTGAAGATCTTAGTTCAAAGCTGGCCCGTGCAGTAAAGTCCTTTAGACTATCTCTAATAACCACTCTCCCTACAAAAAAAAAAGTGGACCTGTGGCTCAGGCAATATAACACTAGCAATGAGTGAAAGAACCCAGGAACAGTGCCTGGGCCATGAGTTCAAGCTCCAGGACACATGGACAGACACACGGACACACAGACAAGACAGACAGACAGAGACAGACAGACAGACAGACAAGACACACACACACACACACACACACACACACACACACACACGGGTGAAAAAATAAAAAATAAAAAAAAAGTTCAGGGCTAGCCTGGGCTACATAGAAGAAGAACCCTGTCTCAAAAGAAATTTTTTGTTGTTAATTTGATAGTAATATAAAATCTTCCCATAAAGAGACAACTTTGAAAGTTGTCACAGAAAAAGAAAACAGGAAAAAAAATACATATATTTGTGCAGAGCAAAGCAGTGCACACCTTTAAATCAAAGACTAGGATGATGGCAGTAAGATGGAGAGTTCAAGGACAGCCTAGGCTGTACATACATCAAGACCCTCTCTCAGAAACACAAAATAATATTTGTAAAGAATGTACAATTTATGACAAGCTTCTAAAATTAATCTTTTTCTTTTAAAAAAGGAGTTAAGGTAGTAAGCTATTTGTCCACTAAACAAATTTGTACCACCATGCCGGGCAAATCCTCCACTTTCTCTTAAGGTCAGTTTTTATTATGCTATTTTCCTAATAATTTGTGCCTACCAACATATGAAGCAACTTTTGGACAGTGCATAACAAAACTGGTTTTAAAAAAACCAAAACAAACAAAACACAATACCTATCATCAAGACTTCTATCTCTACAATGAACATGCAATTTTCCATGAAAGTCATTTCTTGCATAACATTTCAAAAGTAGGCAAGAAGTGCCCATAGTCACTTCTGATAGTTAGGGGATTTGGGGAGTAGTTAGTATTTCCAAGGCTTTTGGAAGGAAGCACAACAGTAAAATGATTCATGGTGTCATAATTTTCAAACTAAAAGAGACTTATGATTTAGAAAGACAAATTAAGCAGGCCCCAAGATCATGTATTAAGATAGGAAGAAAGCAATAGGCACTGGTGGCTCAGGTCTGTAATCCTAGCTACTCACGAGGATCATGGTTCAAAGCCAGCCTGGGCAGGAAAGTCTGTGAGACTCTTATCTCCAATTAACCACCAGAAAACTGGAAATGGTGGTGTGGTTCAAGTGGCAGAGCACTTGCCTTGAGCTGAAAGACCTAAGGACCAGCACCCAGGCCCAGAGTTCAAGCCATATTACCGCCCACCCCCCACCCCAAAGAAAGATAGGAAGAAAGGATGAAAGGACTCCAAACTGATAGTGAATAATAGGAATAATAGGAATTTAATAACAAAACCCTGCTTCTTGAATTAGGTTGATGTATTTTATGCAGGGCATCAAAATTAAACATCTCCTTTCTCTGCCTTACACTCTTTATAGATGAAAAGACATTCTTTTTTTTTTTTTTTTTTTGGCCAGTCGTGGGGCCTGAACTCTGGGCCTGGGCGTTATTCCTCAGTTCTTCAGCTCAAGGCTAGGGCTCTACCACTTGAGCCACAGCGCCACTTCTGGCTTTTTCTGCTTATGTGCTGCTGAGGAATGGAACATAGGGCCTCATGAATGCAAGCACTCTACCACTGAGCCACCTTCCCAGCCCGAAAAAACATTCTTGCTTGTGAAATTGTCTTAAAATATAACAGGACATAAACCTTATATAATTAAATTGTTCTTCCAGTGTTCAAGTCTCATGCCTCTCATCAGAAGCTTAAAATGTTTATCTTCAAGTGTGTGTTTCTGTGTGATAGGGCTTGAACCCAGGGCCTGGGAGCTTTTGGGTACTCTACCACTCTGATCCACAGCTCCACTTGCAGTTTTCCAGTGGTTAATTGAAGTTAAGAGTCTTGGACTTTCCTGCTGGCTTCAAACCATGATCCTTAGATTTCAGCCCCCTGAGTAGGTAGGATTACAGGGATGAGCCACCAGTGCCTGACTCTTCAATTATTTTTGCAACATGTTTACTGATCAGGTAAATAGGTTAGAATTCTTTAATTTTAAAAGAATCAGGGCTTTAAATCACTACAATATATTTTCTTTCTTAGTGTTATATGTATATATACACTTACCTTCTGGTGGTTCATCACTAAGGTAGGATGGGATTTCTTGTTGATTTTTATCTGCCTGATTCATGATTTCCTAAAAAAAAAAAAAAGGCAATCCATACAAACATATTTCATGTTGAGACTACTACCTTGTACACATTAAGACTTAATTAACTTTTCTCAGATAAATAATATTTTTAAACATCTACCACAGGACTGTTTCATCTGAAGTGGCTGAGAGTAGCTCTAGGTTTGTCCTCCAGCACCACAAATAGATAAAAGAAAAGCAACTTTACATTTTAGGGCTAGGGATGTAACACAGTGTAAGGTGTTTGCTTACCATGCAAAGCCCTTGGGTACTAGTGCTTGAATTCAGGGTCTGGGCGCTTTTCCCTTAGCTTTTTCAGTTAAGACTGGCATTCTACCATTTGAGCCATAACTTTACTTCTGGTTTTCTGGTGGTTCATCAGAGATAGGAGTCTCATGGACTTTCCTGCCTGGGTTGGCTTTGAACTGGTATGTTCAAATCTCAGCTAAGAATAGCTAAAATTATAGGCATAAGTCCCAGCACCCAGCTCCAAAGTGTCTTTTATGATAAACTGTCTTGACAAAAAAAAAACAAAAAAAAACTATAGAGCTAACAGTCAACTAAACATTTCTTGGTAATACATTCTTAAAGCCTAAATTATTGTAACCATATGCAAACAAGAGATATGAAGGATATTGTACTAACAATGTAACACTAATTAACAAGTCATAATTAGGCTAATCATTGTTTTAGGTACAGAAGGTGGAAAATGCCTGCCATGCTAGGGTATTTCTAAATACATACATACATTTACAAACGCATATGAAGTAATTATAATTTTCTGCTACAAACATGTACTACTTTTGTAAATAAAAAATAAGCCTTGGAAACCAAGGATTTCAAAAATACTTTCTTTTTTGGTGATACTGAGAGTTTGAACTCAACACCTTATGCTTGCTAGCCCTTTTGATTTTAGTTTTTTCAGATAGGACCCTCATGTTTACCTGCAGCTGGTGTTGGACAGTAATCCTCCTACCTATGCCACCTCTACAGCTAGAATTACAGGCTCACTTAGTTGTTGAGATGAATTCTTGCTAACTGCCTACACTGATCTCTACCATACAAGTAGTGGAATTACACACATGACCCACCATCAGTTGTATTCTTTCAAATTCACCTGGTCTCAGTTATGACAAGGACTATTATTGCCTATGGCAAGAAACACTGGACAAATAGCTTTATGGGGACTATTACTACATTAGCTGTGCAATATTGTTATGGACATTACTCGCCATATCACTGCATAGATCTAATGTGGAATGCTATATATCTAGGTCATTTCTTTAAAGGCATTTAAATATTCAGAAAATGTCATTTCCTTCAAAAACTAGTAAGTTTTCTTTGGGATTTGTACCTTTTTCATCTTAAAAGATAGAACGATATGGTGTGTCTCTTCTTTTTTTGGCTTTGAGGAAGCTTGTATTTAAACTGCCAGCCTAACTAGATAGGGTGGGGCTGGGAAGGTGGCTCAGTGATAGAGTTCTTGCCTTGCATGCATGAGGCCCTGGGTTTGATTCCTCAGCAACACATTAGCAGAAAAAGCTGGAAGTGGTGCCGTGGCTCAAGTGGAAGAGCCCTAGCCTTGAGTTCAAGAGCTGAAGGACAGAGCCCAGGCCTGGAGTTCAGGCCCCATGACCAACCAAAAAAAAAAAGAAAAAAGAAAAAGAAAACTAGGTAGGGTTTCTTTGGCTGCATAGTTGTACCTATTCTCCCCCCTATACTCCTCTATATTCCCTTAAGACTTCTCCTCTGATTACTATTACAATTTCAATATCTTATTCATACTTTGAGTATTTTTGTGAAAACACATAGGACAAAAATGTTTGTAACCACGCTAACATTAAGCATCTCTAGAAAATATGTATAGCAAGCTGGGCACCAGTGGCTCATACCTATACTCCTAGCTACTTGGGAGACTGAGATGTGAAGATTGTGATTTGAAGCCAGCCTGTGCAGAAAAGTCCATCACACTCTTATCTTTAATAAACTGCTCAGAAAAAGGCAGAAGTAGTGGTGTGGTTCAAGTGGTAGAGTGCTAGTCTTGAGCACTTATTGGCTCAAGTACCCAGGTCTGGAGTTCAAGCCCCAGGACAAGTTAAAAAAAGAAAAGAAAATACATGTATCAACATTTGGCTGAAGTCTTTAGTTAGAAAGGGAGGAAAAAATAGGGAAGGGAAGGAAGAAAACAAATCCCAAGCTAGTTTTGTGCTTAATGAGTAGGCAGTGGTATCTAGTGGCTTCCAGAAGCCACAAAATAGACATGATGTGTATATTTTAATCCACAGTTATTTAAAACACTTTATTTTTAAGTCCACACAGAGGAAAAAGCAAAATGAAAACATGGGAATTTTTTTTTTTTAAGACATTTCACTGTTGGGCTGGGAAGGTGGCTCAGTGGTAGAGCGCTTGCCTTGCATTCATGAGGCCCTGGGTTTGATTCCTCAGCACCACATAAGCAGAAAAAGCCAGAAGTGGCGCTGTGGCTCAAGCGGTAGAGTGCTAGCCTTGAGCTGAAGAGCTGAGGAAGAGCGCCCAGGCCCAGAGTTCAGGCCCCACAACTGACAAAAAAAAAAAAAAGAAATTTCACTGCTTCAAAGTACAATCTCAGAGACTAGAGATATGGCCCATGATTGCCCATGATAAGTAAACCTGGGAAAGCAAAATCTGCGAAAGAGTGTTACTACTATGCTGACACTGGCGGGTGGTTCATACCTATAATCCTAGCTGAGATCTGAAGATCAAGGTTCAAAGCCAACCTGTACAGGACAGTCCATGAAATTCTTTTTTTTTTTTTCCCCTGGCCGTGGGCCTTGTACTCTGGGCTTGGGCGCTATCCCTCAGCAATTCAGCTAAAGGTGAGCACTCTACCGCTTGAGCCACAGCACCAGTTGGGGTTTTCTAGTGGTTTACAGGAGATAAGAGTCTCACGGACTTTCCTGCCTGGGCTGGCTTTGAACCTCGATCCTCAGATCTCAGCCTCCTGAGTAGCTAGTATTACAGGCGTGAGTCACTGGTGCCTGGCCATGAAACTCTTATTGCCAAATTAAACTACCAAAAAGCTGAAAGTGAAGCTGTGGCTCAAGTGGTAGAGCAAAAAAACTCAGGGACAGTGCCCAGAGCTCAGGCCCTTGGTTTAAGCCTTAGGATTGGCACACTCATACACAAGTGTACCCTCCTCACCACCACCACTGCAGTACAGCTATTTGTCTTAAACTGAGACTTGTGAAAATAAACATACTCCTAATCACCTAAAAAATACTCTGCGGATAAAATTTTAAAAGCATACACATGGGAATTAGTACTAATGAACAGTCAAAATGACATTTTGAAAAACGTTATTATTTTGTATGTTGTAGGGCTATCCTGTTTGGCACTTAAGGTTTTACACAAAACTAAAGTTCACAATTAGCAAGAATACCTTATCTCAATATGTACAACTTTAATCAATTATTCATTTAAGAACATGCAGGAACTGTTCTCTGCATATCACATTTTTTGGTCGGTTGTGGGGCTTGAACTCAGGGTCTTTTGCTCAAGGCTAACACTCTACCACTTGAGCCACAGCTCCACTTCCCAGGAACTGTTCTCTAGGAACTCCTAAGGCACTGGAAATGATGGACAAGAGCGTTTAGACCAAAGCAAAGTATGCTTTTTATGTTTTGTCTTTAGGTCCTGATATGTGGACAAACTATTACAATGCGAACTAAAACTTCTTGAATGTGTTTTTAAAAATCTGTGCAATGTGAAAGACTTATTTACTGTAACTGTATATATAGCATGACAGCAAATTCATCAGCAGTTAGTTTCAGGGGGAAGGGCCAGGGAATAATTTATCCAATACAATAGCATCAAAGATAGCAGCTGGCAGATGTATTCAGCAAATATTAATAACAACACTATTCCCTAGAGGGTAATTTATTCCAATAATAGAAATAAGTAAACAAACGCTTCATGGAAACCTCTGGTTTTTTTTTTTCAAGAGAAGCCTAAAATTACTGATGAATCAATGTTGCTTGTGGGTTTCAGTAACATCTAATATATAAATTGAAGCTTTTTGTGTGTGATGAAAACAGTCTAAAGACAGCATACAAATCTGCCTATGGTTACCACCCTTCTAAAGTACCAAGGAAATATAATCACACTAACACTTGGTATGAACTCAAGCACAAAACACAGTACACTAGAGTTTACTGTCAAAGATGCTTCAAAATGTTATTCATCAACAAGTTAATTTTCCTATTTACAAAAAAAGACTGAATTAAGAAGCTAAACCCTTCTAGATGTGCTATACACATCTCACATCCTCACTCTGTTTCAGGTTGTTGTTTTTTTATACTTGTTCTGGGGCTTAACTCAGGGCCTGCGTGTGCAGTCCCTGAGCCTCTTTGTGCTCAAGGCTAGCATTCTACTGCTTCAGCCACAGCCCCACTTCCCATTTTTTCTGAGTAGTTAATTGGAGATAAGAGTCTCAGGGACATTCCTGCCCCAGCTGGCTTTGAACTGCAATCCTCTATCTCAGCATCCTGAGTAGCTAGGATTACAGGCATGAGTCACCAGGGCCATGCTGTTTCAGTTTCTTTGAAAAGTAATTGCAAGGAGTTTCAAAAATACATTTGGACAACAGAGCTCTATACACATACAGCAAGAATCAGTGTATACTAAGACACTACCTTACTGTTTTTAGAATCATCTAGTTGTACTGAATTTGCTGCTTGTAAAGATGAGCCTCCCATTAAATGAACAATAAACTACAAACAAGGCATGAGGCTGGCAAGGGAGAAAAAGTAATCTATCAGTAAAACTTGTAAGGGCACACAGATGACAATATCAAAGGAAACATTAACTCAAATTAAAATAGCATTGACACCAAAACCAGTACCTGAGTCATCTTCACTAAATCATGCAATCTGCATTACTCTTACACTGTTGGGTTCAGAACAAGCATACAAAGACCCCCCCCCTTTTTTGTTTTTGTTTTTTGCAATACTTGGGTTTAAACTCGGGACTTTTTTGCTTGCAATGAGGAATGTCCTCTATCACTTGAACCCCCATCCCTTTCCAGTCCTTTTGGATTTAGTTTTTTCTCAGACTCTGCCACTTTTTGTTTAGGACAATCTGGGACCTCAATCCTCATACCTACATTATAGCCCCTGCTTAGGTGGGATCATGAGGCTGGGACTTGCCACATCTGGCTAGTTTGTTAAGGGGAGAGGAATTCCTGTAACTTTTTGCCAGGGCTGGCCTTCAACTGAAGTCCTTCAAGTAGCTGAGACCCACAGAGGTGAACGGCCACGCTCCACCCAAAGACCCTGCTCTTCAGATGTTTATCTATTACCCAGTGAGAGCTCATCAGGAAGTAGGAAAGGAGCAAACACACCCAGTTACTGAAACAAAGAAAGGTAAAGATTTTCCTAGAATTTAAACTATTAAAAAAAGATCGCATTCATAGAAAGCATTTAAACTTCTCCAACAAAGCTTCCTATATGTGGAGAGGTTTTTTTGTTTGTTTTTTTAATCGAACTTGGTCTCTGGCACAAAGACCGAAGAGGATGCCCGTGTGTGTCTGTGACACTTAAACACACACCTGGGTGTCGTTACCACTATTTCTGGGTTAGTCCTTGTGCACCTCCACACAGTGGGAGTTAATCTCAAGGCTTCCACGACCGCGGAGGATCCCCATGGAGTTTCCCCTGGGCACCTAGCAGTGTGCACCGAGGTGCGACACATCCTCCAGGTGTTTGCGGCTCCCCAGCTGCCCCTCGCCCTCCGAGGCTTCCCTCCAGGCGTCTGCGCGGCTCTTTCTTTCCTTTGGCCGCGGGAGTGACGTGGCAGGAGAGACAGAAAATGACCCCGCGGGCGCCGCGGCCGGGCACCTCCTTCTTCCCTCCCGCTCCCACGCGGTGCACCCCACACACCCACCCCGGGGTTCCGGAAATCCGACTGCAAGCGGAGGGGGTCGGGGGGGTGCTGCGTGTGCGCGGCGGCCTCGGTTCCCCTCTCCCCCCACCCTCCGGAGGGGGGAGGCGATGCGGGGCTCGGCGCTCCCCTCCATCCGCGCACTCGCAGGTTCCGGGCGGGCGTGGGAGCGCAGCCTCCCCCACGGGGGAAGGGCGCTGGGAGCCGCCACGGGGGAGGCGCGGGGTGTGGGGGGGGCGAGCCTCGTGTACTTGAACCCGGGAACCCGGAGGGGGCCGTCGATCACCGGGTCGGGTCCGGAGCGGCCGGGCATCCGCCGCCGCCGCCCTCCCCCTCCCACGCACGGCTCTCGCCCGGAACCCCCTCCCCGGCCCGGCCTGACAGCCGAGTCAGGCGGCTGGGTGCGGGGCGCCCGGCCCGGGAGGAGGGGGGGCCCCGCCGCCGGGGCTCCATCCGCCTCAACTTCGTCCCGCACCCCCTTTTTTCCCGCTCAGTTCTCCCCCCACCCCCGCCACACACACACACCCACGGAAAAGGCCCAGGCCGGGGCCGCGGAGGAAGCAGGTGAGGTGCAGGGCGCTGACCCGAGGCTTCGAGGGCGACAAGGGCAGGAAGCCAGGCCGGCGCCC